AGAGAACATTTTGAGAGCTACTGGTTGAATTGTTACCCGATCTAATTCTAAAACAGAGCAACCACTTGTTAAAAGAACACAGCTTTAACTATGAATTAACGGCACATTTCACTATACACTCACAAGCACACTGCAGACTTGAAGTTCTCACTGTTACATTCACTGGAGACTAGCTCAAAAAAAAAAAAAAAAAAAGACTGGGGGTGGGGAAAGTGCCTCTGGCTTCATTTACTATTTCATTCAGGCTTTGATCACTATGTTTAGCACGTGAAAAATTCCTCAGTGAAATAGTGGTGAACTCAATAATCACAGACTCAAGATACTTGGCTCATCTCTCTAAAGCACACACTGTCAGCCATTTGATTCTTAGCATAGGACAGTTTTTGCCTTTATTCATATCCTTGAAACAAATTTAGAGATGTCACATTCCTTCCATTCTTCACCTGTGATTTGAGAAGCTGCCTTGATTTCCTGTTGCAGCTGACACTGCCCTTTAAGTGAATGGACACATTTGATGCAAACAGCAAAGGCAAAGTCAGTCTTAACACCAACAGGCCACGAAAGTTCAACCTCGGGAATGATCTAATGATCTGTAGCTAGGAAACACTCCTGGATGGTGAAGCCTGAAGTAAGGGAAGTTACTAATGGGGGAAGATAAGTAACAGATTCAGCAAAGGAAATTATTAGGTAAAATTACTGTTAGGTTGTCTACTTGCAGCTAAAGAAAAGTTTTAGATCTGTCCATTAAAACAAACACAGTGATTATCACGTGTTCCTTAGGACATAAAATACAAGAGTTCCTTCACGTACATCTTTGCTAGGTTATATGGAATGGATCCAACTCTACTCAGTGCCTCTGTGGATGATGGTAATATAAATATTGAATGACAAATAAAAAACAGAGAGGCATATTGAATCCTGGCTTTAACTGACCTCTCCCTCATATCTTATGACTTGCATGTGACCTTTTTAGAATTTAATGAAAGCTTGTGCCAAGCAGTTTATGAAAACAGTGCTGCTTGAAGATTTCAAGATTCTCTTCTTAAGAACCTGGATTGCTTGCTCTGACCAACCCACATGTTCACTATGCTTGTCCAAAGATCACCAGAGAAGAGGGATGACTTGGAACTGCCCCATAGAAGCAGTACTTTCATATTGCTCTGTGGTTTCATAGCAAGGTCTGCCTATGTGGTAACTGACTGACTTATTTCAGTCAGACAATACCAAGTTATTATGGCAGCCCTCAAAATCCTCCAGCACAAGGCAGCAGTGCTACTATCCATTTCAACAGCAGCTAACAGAGGCTGGATGACAGGAATGACTTAAATTCCATATTGTAACTTATGAGTCCCACCTGACTGCTGAATAAAGGAGGTAAGATTCACCATGCTGGTTGCTTTAAGTTATTGAGAGGCAAACTTAAATAAAGAGCATCAGGCTTACAGAGATTCTCTTCAGAACACTTGTAAAGGCACTTCACTGGACAACAGGATGTGCTGGTTCTGTTCTTTTGAGTTCTGAATGATTCATGCATTGCTGATTTAAAAGGTTACTGCTCCCAACTGTCTTCTCATGCCTCTGCCACAGTCTAATAAAAGAAGAAAATCTGGTGCAGAAGATTAGGGTAGAGCTCAGGGAGGCAACTTCTTACACTGTCCCAGTAAAAACATAGGAGATGATGAATCAGAGTCTTAAGGCTCAGTCACAGATATTCCAAGCAAGCCAGAATTGGACATTCATCCAGGTCCCTCTGGGAAGAAGAGATAACTGCTGCTTTTTTCCCCATTTGCCAGTTCTGCTTAAGCTTTACACCAGGAAAAGGCCTTCATGGAAAAATATACATTTCTGGAATGCTTAATAGAAGACTAATGAAGCTCAACTGAGTAAAAACAAAAGAAAGGGGAAAAAAAAAAAAGGCTAGCACTCCTTGAAATCCCTAATGCACAAGACAGTGTTTCAGTGTTACTTTAATTACAAGCCTTTCCATGCAGATGAAAAAATTATTTCACGCTGAAATGCTGAAAAAGATAGGTTTCTTCAGGACAAATCTGAATGAGAAGACATTGTTCCAGAACCAATAGTGCTAGGGCAGCAAATGTAATTCAGATTTTCACACAAAGCAACTTATTTTCCATAGACTACACGAAAATAATTTTTTGAGCTTATTGGAAGACAGGGAAGTTATCAGAAGGAGCAACAGGCAATTCTTAAAACTTTATAGCAAGCCAGCCCTGTGGCAGCCACGAAGTGATAGGAAGTAGAAAATAGGCAGGAATAACAGATTAGAGTCAGTTGTTCTCCCCTTCAAACTGTAAGGAAGAACTGTGTCAAGCTGTGTCCCCCACTTCCATGCCAGCCACAGGAAGGATTCAATTATTTTAGTCAAGCATTGGGAACAGGGATGTGAAGCTCTTAGCACCGCAGTGATATCCCAGAAAAAGGGGCCCAGCACATGATCCACTATTAGATTGGCAAGTGCCCGGCAAAGAAGCACCCTGAGAACAGGTATTTCTCTGCTGCATGTTAATTACACTGGCCTTAGGGCACATAAGCCTCACCTGCCCAGTAATTCACTCCATGGGTTGAATTTATTTGCAAACAAGCATTAAAGAATGTAACAGCGTTCCTGGCTCCTCAGCTACGCACTCATCTCAGAATCCTACAAAAAACAATAGGCGACTGCAATAGGGTCTGAAATCATCAGAAAAACATCTTCTGGAAGTCTATGTATGCACTTATTTTCACAGATATAAGTAGAGTCATGAAAGAAAAAGTAGCTGTTTGAGTGTGCCTCACTAGGTAAGAGCAATTCCTATGCACATATCGGGAAGACACCCCAGGCATATTTGGGATTTTTGTCTGCTTTTGTTTTATGCAACAGAAAAACAAATAGAGAAACACTTATATGGCTGAATGCAAAACTGAGTTTATATCAGTATTTACAAGTGGATATTCAGAGACTGTAAAGAAGCAAGTTTCCCAAAAATAGTATTTGAAAATAGAAGCTTCAACAGGGGGAAAGCAGACTCCCAGTGAAGACTGAATTCACCAGGAGAAGAAAGGGTGACCAAGGAGATGACGTTTAGTCAACCCTTAGATCAACGAAAATAGGTCCATAATGGGATTTTGAGAGGTCATTTGGTTCACCACTGCTTCAAAGCTGGAAGATCCTCATTATTTAGTTGGAACTGATTATACAGAATCTATTAAAAGCCATCACCAATAAATACAGAAAACCCAAGGCAACCTACTCCACCACTTCAGGATCTTTAACAACAAAGATTTTTCTTCACAATAAGCCTTAACCTCAACTTACTTCCCCACTGAAATTTGAGTTCATTATTACTTGTAATATCCATACTGGACAGACAGATCAGTTCCCTCGCCCTTTTTTTTGGTGGGGGGGTCGTTTGTTTGGGTTTTTTTGTTTAATTTTTTTATTTATATACTTATGTCCACTCTCATCCCTCTTCTCCAGGCTAAACAATTTCAGTCTTTTAACTTTTCCTCATCAGTTATGTTTTCCAGGCCTCTGATGACCGTGCTGCTCTCCTCTGGATTCACCTCAATTAACAAAAAGAACTTAGCTCCACAGAAACCTTCAAGTTCTGTACAGCCTCAGTGTACCTCTCCAGATAATTATATATAAAAATAGATGGAATTTTTCCCACTGAAAGAATGACACTTGTTGTTTATTTCTCCTACCAAGAGTTTATTTTTTCAACAGAAAAATGCTTGGATTAGTTCAAGGAAATGAAATCAACTATTCTCACACATCCTCACTTCCCACCCTCCATTTCCTCGTGAATGATCATCCAGAAAAAAGCCACACAAGAATGAATTTATGAGTTACAAAATCACCTTTAGAGAAACGATTGGTTCAAGGGCAATAGATTTAGGGATACTACATACCAGCTATGGGGTGAGGAAGAAGGCATAAAGACCAGCTTTTGCTTTTTAGTAATACAGTATCCTACAAACAGGAAAATGTTAGCATCATCAGTCCAAAACACTATGTTTAGCCAATTTAAATTCCTCAAGAAACAAAAATCTTCCTTACAGACCCCAGTGCACCATATCAGAACATAAGATGAGGGATAAAGGCTTAAAGATGACAAACATTTATGTGAAAGAACAATTAAGGAGACTTAGGAAAATAAAGCCCACTCACATTCTTGAATGTGTCAGGTACTTCTGAGGGCTTGGCAGTGAGGTCTAGAGCTACTTCCTGAAGTAAATTATTTGCAATAACAAGACAAATAACAAATTCCTAACTTATTACTCAAATTGGAAAAAGAGTGACTTATCTCTTAAGAGAAAAGTTATAAACTTGATTGTTCCTTGCTGTTACTTTCCCCTCCACTCAAAAAAACCCCTTGCTTACCAGAATACATATCTTTTAAAATATATATTAAAAATTATATACTTAAATATTAATTTTAACATTGGTTTACAGGAAAAATTGTTTTAACTTTTACTACATGCTTCTCATTCTGTTTCATTCAACATTTGACTTCTGCAATCTCACAGGAAAGGTCCAAGATAATAAGACAGGCATCTTATGTTCAAAACCTCTCCTTTCAGTTGCAGGCTCATGACAGGAAAAAAAAATAAAAACCCCTAACTCTCCCCATTAGTATAGACAGACCAATGCAAAATTTTAAGCATAGACAGATGCAAAATGGAATTCAGTGCTCCTTCTAAGTTGAAATTTTAGAAGCTTAGGGAAGTTCAAAACAAATATTGCAGAAAGAAAGGAGCACTGGTTGTATATTGTTTGGAAAAGAATTAATATGGGTTGCCTTGGTGAAGACAGTTTCCCTTCAATAGAGGTAGGAATCATGACATTACTAGTTCTACCAGAAATGTTCCTAAAAGTGGAAAAAGAATCATATTCACCCTCTCTCCTCCCCTCAAGAAAGTATCTTTGGAACATTACATAAACACAGTAAGCAGAGAATAAGAAGAGTTAACAGAACATTTATACATGTATTTGTTACCATAATGACTTCTCCACTATTTTGGTCCTGAAAACCTCCTCCTGGTCCAGGTTTACAGTACAGTAGCAATCCCGCATCTTGTTTGGCCCCGGATATGTGGGAAGATTTTTAGCTTCGCCTAAAGACAAGAAAGAAAAAAGCCAGAAAGATTACATACTGAAAAGTTATCCATACATTAGTCATCTGTCAACTAACACAGTGTCAGCAACATGGCTAAAGGAAGTATTATGTTGTATTTTCCTTCTCAAATGTGATAGTCCCTATTAAACTTTGTAGCAGTACTCTGTTTCCAAGGCAGCAGCTCCTGACACTCACTGCATTTAGAGCTCAGCAGTAGCCAGCAACAACTCAACCATCTGTTGCATCCAATTTATTCATATCCATTTGGATACATACTTCTTGCTTTCTCCTTCCATGCTTGTGTCCAGGTTTTGATCAGTGTTGCCATAAGGCACCAGGAACACCACAAAACATGGTAATTAAGCTTTTCTATACAGCCCACTGATTTTATCCTAATGACATGACCAGAACACAGCAAACGAGGAGTGACCCCCAGCTCCACCACTCTCCCCAGACGAGGAGATGGAGAACAGTCACTTTAGTTACAGCCAGCAGCCTTAGATCACAAGCTGGACTTCAAAGCACTCTGATAGGATAACTAGCACTTTGTGAAGCTGCCTAAGGTCCTTGCACAAAGGTACCATGTAAGTCATGAATATTCTTCATAATAAACATCTATTTCAGAACTGCAGCAAGAACTAAGTATGTACCCTGTATTTAACAACAACAAAAGACACAGGATTGAGGAACTAAGGGTAACCAAGAGAATACAAAAAACAAGAGTATGAAACAAGAATAAAACCACTGTTTTCCCCCTCTACATACCCATTAATAACCAAAGCTGAACACTAAATTTCTTTGGCTGACTGATAAAATCAAAACTCTTAAGACAGGAAACTGGGCAATGCCCCTCATAGTTTTGCTAAAGGACCTTATTACTATGTGCATGAGTGGTTTAATTCTACAGACAAAACTCAAAACTAAATCTAAGTCTAGAATGCATGAGGTCTTATTTTACTGTCACTCTTGCAGTACCTGGAGATTATTAGCACATACTTTGGGAACCAAATCATTCTCTCCTGGTAAAAATACAAGGAATTAAACTAAAACTAAAAATGCACAGACCAAGGGAACACAGGCTTCTTTGCCAGTACAGAAGGAAACTCTAAATGAGGGTAACAAATGTAACTTTTTATTGGATGTCTGCAGCTCTGCTTAAGTGCAGTTTACTAGACAGACACATGCTTTCCTAGTCTCCAGCTCCCAAATAGCTTTATACTATTACGAGAATTACCTTGCTTTTTTCAACCCTGTCTTCAGTAAAGAGATAGCTCGCTCTTTCTGCAGATTTGTTTAACAGCAATCTGATGCATGTAAATACTGAAGATGTATAGCAAGGAAAGACTCAGCCAGTCTGCATCCTCAGCCTTTAAAGGAAAAGCACAAAGTGACACAGGACTCCATGTCTTCCTGCCTGTGATCTCTTTCTAGCACTCTGTTCACACGCTTTTGCTTACTGACTCATGTCATACCCTTGGAACCATCACACATCCACACTTCTCACAAATGCCTTGTGTATGGGTGACCGTACATGCACACATTTTCTAAAGCTAACCATGGAGCACAAAGAAAGAGGCCCTGGAAAAGGATTTTAACCTATTGCTTCAGACAGTAACACCTCACTTCAGAGTTCTTCTAAATAATTTTCTTCTCTCAGCTCAGCTGATACAAATTGATAGCATTCTTCCCACTTGCTTCAGAGTTGTGAGACATTGCATTAAAAAAAGCTGTCTCCACTGTAATTCAAAGGTGTGACTGGAACATCTGTTGGCACGCCCAATGTGGTTTTCAACTAAGCTGAAGCGTTAACAACAGTTTAACTGCAACAGCTCTAGACAAAAATATACTGAGGATTACTGATGGCTTGCTCAGTCTGCACTCAAGTCCATCCTGCCATAATAATCCTTAAAGTTTTACTCTTCTTAGTCTCAGTTCAGGCAACTTACAAATCAAATGCACTACTCTCACACAGACTGAGGTCTCAAGGTTTGTCTGCTCTCCCCAAGCAATCAAATTTCTCTAAAGTTTTTCTCACCCTGAAGTCACAGGAAACCACTCTCTTTTCTGGATAACTGGGTAAAGTTTCCCAACAGGTGTCAACAGGAAGCATTTCAATAGCAGAACAATAAGGAAGTCTTCCTCTGGGGCTGGCACACTATTCTCACAGTTCTCCCAAGAGAAAAGGACAAAACTTTTCAAGTTCAAAGTTACACCCAAAAAAATAACGTCTTCCCTTTTTCTGCACTTTTCCACTTCCTACTTCAAGATGAATGCACATGCATGAAAACAAATCCAGATTTTGTTATCTTGATTTCCATTTTTTTGATGTGCATAATATTCACTTAAGTGCTAAAAGGTTATGTCAGAGCACTCTGTAAGAACTGTATTTTGAAAACCCAATTTTCCTCTTTGTTAAAAGACTTAGCACAGAGAAGCCCATAATATTGAAACCTAAAGGCAATGTGAAGGAAGACACCATTTAGCACCACCAGAAAAAGACTGACTGCACAGTCTGTACAGCAAATTAAAGTTCACCACCATCACAATGTTGCAAAGTGAGGCACAGAGGGAAGATAGAGGGGAAAGACGTTTTACAGTAATTTCTTTCTTCAAACTAGAAAAAGACCCCGAAAAACCACTGAGGCTAGAACAAGGGATTAATTGACCAACACGATATATTAATCATGTTACTGACTTGAGTAGGAGCTTACACAAAAAAAAAAAAATACTGTTTCTTCCTGACACTGGCAGCAGCCAATGGCTGTTTAGATTCCTCCAGCACTGAGCAGTTGAGAAAGAAAAATTTGTCAAGCTTTTAAGCATAGCTAAAGACTCAACTCTCCAGCCAGACATTTTATGTCAACAAATAGACTCTGTTTGAGCTTCAGTTGCTCTTTAGATTCCTCTAAGACAAAAAAGTTCCCTCTGTGGCATTGTTTTGCCATCTACAATGAGGTTGAACTTGATCTGTATTTTTCTGGTTCTGCTACTACTGAAATGCAAAAAAAGAAAACCCAGAATATATGATACAGTCATGCACTATTTCCATTTTCTCAACAACTAAAGCTGATGCGCTCAGTTATTTTGAGCAAGAATTCAATCACTTAACCTATCTGTGCATAAGAAGCATCTTCATCAATTGTATTTTCAAAAGCCAAGTCTGCTTTTTTCCCCCCACTCTCCATATTTGTGAAGTACCTATATGCTAGAGAACTTAAAAAGGGGTTGCAGATGAAAGGTCAATACACTCGCTTTTAAAACCTTCAGTTTTCCCCTTCCACTAAGAAGAAACGTTAAACATTCTTAGGACGTCTAAGACCCTGACAATTTAGAATACACAAGCACTTTGTTTTGGAGCATAAGGCTTCATTTGGAGACACAGTAGCAGAATAATCTGTTCAAGTTGGTAATAGCTTTTCTCTCTATCCCTGCACTTCTAATATACATGAGTCCTAATTTAACTGTGTGACAAACTCAATTTAGCACTAAGTACTTAAATCTAGCAAAGCTGATTTCAGCTATGGAAAAGTTAACATTAGGCATTTTGGACAAGTCTTAAAAAATAGACTATACAATTCTGAATACGTCACTGGCTTGCTATCTTCTCCCCATAAATACTGGGTTACTACAGCTCAAAAATAGACTACCATGGCAGCACAGATAGCTTAGCTTGAGCACAGAGAATGCAACAAGCTAGAAAAAGAGGAAGGAAAAACTCAAAATCATATTCATCTTCCTCGTTCTTTCTAATGTTGCATATTCCTGCACGGATAAAACAGTGGCAATAAAAGGGACGCAAGAAAAAAGGGCTCTCCTGCATATACAGCAGGGAAGAGCACTGCTTAGATGCTTGGGAGCATAACTGGTAAGAAGGGAAAAAACTTTGAAGATGCTTTTAGGAATAAGCCAATATACATACATTTCCTTAAGGTTTTGCCACTAAAAATTTTTTGAAGCTTCTAGCATTTTTAATTGAATTCAGATACTTGCCACTTTGCCAGCTTTGCTTTTGACGTATTTCCCCAAATGCAACTTTCTGAAAAGCAGAGAATGCATGAGAGGTATTATTTCTACCTTTTGGAACAAAATTTCCTGCTCTTGTGCTGCTAAGTATTGGGTCACCAGCAGACATCTACCAACCTGAATGCACTAACAAAGACTTTGTAGTGCATCAACCAATTTAGCTTCCTGTTTCCTAGCAGCAACATATTTGATTTTATCAAGATGCCATGAGAGACCCTTTTCCCAAACTACTTCAGAAAACAAAAAGGCAAAGAAAGACCTACCTCTAAAAAATAAATCCAATAAAAGCAGCTGAGCTTTCAACGCCACAGCATTTGTCTTCAGGGACCATACTGAGAGACTTGAGTACGGAAACAAAATACCGAAAATCTGAAAAGGGCTGTGTACCCAAACCAACAACAATCCACTCTGTTTCTGCCCTATTCAGGAAAATGCTCTCCAAAGAAGCTTGTAGAGAAGCATGTCAAGAACAAAACCAGAACAGTGACATATGTCAAGAATGAAGAGCTTCTCCTGTTCTCCTTTAAGCTCTCTATCTCAATAGAGGTGCTAAAAATCTGGAAAAATTATCTCAAGCACTCCTTTCAAGTTCTCTGTCTTCTGAAAAGAATTATTGCTTCAACATTCACAGATCAAGCAAAAACAGAAAAAGGAAAATGTGTGTACACACAGAGGTCTGTTTCTCTATCACAATTTATGCTTGAAAACCTCCTCAAGCACAAAATCCAGATTATATGTAAAATATAAAGGTACCAGCAAGTTTCTAATTAATATTTAATTTTACTTAACAGACACATATCACTCAGCGTCAAGTAAAAAATGTAGAAATACCTAGAATTCTGTGCCTATGCATGAATTTAAACTGGAGCGTAAACAGTTGCAATAATGTGGAATGTTGACAAAGTGGTTCATTTTCTTGCAAAGGAAAGATCATCTTTTTTGTAAGTGAGGTGGGGATAAGGGGAGGGATATGAC